GAGGCAGAAGGAGAAGAGAGGGGACCAAAGAAAGAGCTTTGTAGGGAGCCCCAGGAGCTATCTGGTAACAGATGGGGAAAGCTGCATGTCCTTTGTATGCTATTTTCACAGTAGCCTTCAGCAGGAAGAGAATGAAGAGAGTATCAGACAAATGGAAAGATCCGGTCTCAGTAAGAGCACCATCACTGGTGCCAGCAGCTGCTGAGGAAGAGGTAGAACTAAGAGCTGACTTGGGAAGAGGGCATTAGAGAAGGTGGGAATATAAGCTGCAGCAGGTTTGGGTGAGATTGGGGAGAGGAAGATCTCCTAACAGTGTTGGTAAAGGCAACAATTAAAGATGATGTTTAGGATGAGAGGGGAAGATAAGAGTGATGCAGGATCTAGAGAGCACTGCTAGCAAAGAGCAGTTGAGTATTTGGCTGTGAAGTCTATAGAAAAAGGAAGCTTTTTTTTTCCACAGCTATTTAGGATCCAGAAAGTATGGCAGTATTTCTTTCTTCTCTTGCTTTTCTAATTGTGTCACCGAAAAGCTTGGTTTCTGTTTTGTGGTTGTCTAGAGTCTGCCCTTTGTGAGATATTTTGGACAATGTAGCTTTCAAGAATCTTCCTCCTGTTTATTACTACTCCTGCCCTTTTTTTTCCTCCAAATGTCATCTATTTCATCTCAGAATTGTACCCTGGGGTGCTTCAATTATGTATGAATGTAGAGTATTTGGGATGTTCTATTCACAAATGCTTTCAATTTGCCATCTGAGCTTTGAATATGAGCAGAATCGCCAATATTTTAGCTTCTAGGTCACTCTTAAATGTGCAGTCAGGGTGCAGCTTTTGTTCCTAAGTGCTCAGTTTTTTGCTCAGGTTTTTACTCAGTTTCTCACAAGACCTTCTGAACCTTCCACATAAATTTTCCATAGAGTAAATTGCCAGCACAGAGCAAGGAAGTTCCTGCTGGGTTGTAGCATGGGTGTCTACTCTGAGACCTTCCTTTCTCTGGTAGCACTATCTCCAGAAGTCTGCCTCTGTAGCCAGACATACATGGTTTGAGATTCTGAATGGCGGGTGATTGATTTACCTCTGATCTGTCAACATCTGAAATACGCTACTCAGAAACGTAATCTCTTTTCTGACTGCCTCTTTCCGGAAGAGTTTTCCCTCTTTTTCTTGGTTTGGAATCACTCAGCACAATCTTTACCAATATTCTGTCACTTGGTCGTTCAAGTATATTGATTGAAACCTACTTTTGAGTTTGTGATAGAAGGGGGCAGAAGCAGCTGTAGGTGGAAGGAGAGATGAACCAGAGACTGTGAAGGCCTTTTACTGTCAGGCTTTTAAAGGGAAGAGACTGTTGGGATGCTGCATGGAGACTTAAGGCAGAAGAGAAGAGGGTTTGAGCAACAACTTAAGTGATGTGAGAAGAGAGAGCTGCGCCAGGATGAAAACGTATTGAAAGTATCTGGTGCAGTAGGGCTGCTGTAGACAGGAATTGCAGAATTCAATGTGTAGCTGTTCTGATAAGAAACAAATAATTGAGGGATGACTAGAGAAAACCCCCTTTGTGTACCGGTACCGCAGGATGAAGAGCTTCAACCTGCAGTTGCCTCCGAAGACAGATGAGGTCACATCTGTAGAAGTTACCCATTTGGTGCTGTAGATCAAATGAGCCAGTAGGCACTAGCAAAAGACACACAATAAAAATGATCTCTACTGATGCTCGAGAAGCATTGCTTTGACTGTCACCCATAGAAGCAGAGGATGTTGCTGCCAACATCTCCCTCTGTTGTCCAGCAGCAGTTGTCGAGACTGTACTCCTGATGTTGTTTTGCTGTTGGAGCACATGGAAAGGGCACAAAGCTCTAACGCTGTCACAGGGCAAACCAGAAGTGCTGGTGAATGGTTTAACAAACATTTTCAGGGAGCAGCTTCTGACTGTGCCTATGAAGGTCTTGAAGCCAGTTTCTGGCAGTTCTGTGCTTTTTCTGCAGACTGCTAACTGTTAAATACAATTTCTAATGCATTGCAGAGTGGGTGGGGAATGCTGTGGGCTTCAGTAGGCAGGATCCTATTCATTTAAGGTAGAACGAAGTAAGCTGGATAAGAGGATGGGGAGAGGGAAGATGAAGACCATATGGGATCCTAGGCACTTGCAAGAATATTTGAAGCTATGCCTTTGCCAGTTCTCTGTACCCAGCCAGTGTTTCACAGCAGCCTTTATGCCTTCCAACATTATGCTGCTGTCACCCATCTTCCCAACAGAGCTGAGCATGATAAAGCTTTGAATGATGCTTCTGCAAAACAAGAAAAAATTATGTGAAGAACAAAGGCAGTGCTTGGATAGGCAAGGAAATGGCCAAGAAGAAAGCGAGATATATTTAACATTAGAGGAGGAAGGGAGGTTCAGCAGTGGGTATGGATGTTTGAGTGAAGGGCACTGGGGAGGCGAACAAAGCAAAGGGGAATGAGGATCACAAGGTGACCATTGCAAAGGACCCTTGAAATAGGAGCGCAAAGGAAGTGTGCCAGTGGACAGGGAGCTCTGAGAACAAAACCTATGGAGTATGTAGCATACTAATATGAAAACAGTGGTATCTCAGTGGACAGTTGCATGGTAGGCATGCTCTTTAAACTAGCTGCTTGCAGACTCAAACCAGCCCACAGTGTGGAAGCAGTTGGCAGACCAGCAGTGCCAGCAGACTGTCTCATCCCTTGGAGGGCTGGTAGCTCCACAAGGAACATGAAGTAAGCATGAAGCAGGGGAGACTGTCAGTTGGCCAAGACTTACTGCAATAAGGGAGGGAAGATGTAGGACACTTTTTTATAGACTTAGAGATTCCTACTTTGTTTTTAGCCTAGCTGCTATCCAAGGTTGAAACTAATCTGCCTGCATCTTCTGTCTCCACTGCCTTGTCTGTAGATTTTAAAGGTTTGATGTATAGTCTCTGTACTGGAGTACCAGTAACCTAATCTAAATTTTGTTGCCAGTAATCATGAAGTACCTCTCTGGAGTTCTGATTAATAACCTAAATGACTATCATAATTAGCTAGCCCTCAGCCTTAGCGCTGGGGAAAGACAAATCTGACAGCTTTCCTAAAGTGAATGGAGCATGATCTGGGTGTCTGCAAACATTCCTGCCTTTGTTCTCATCTGGAAACTGTTTCTGCCAAAAAAGAGTTGGGTTTGGTTTTTTAGTTTTGCTTTTTTGTGTGGGTATTAAATAATGTATATTTAATACTTTCTTTTAATTTATGCTGTACTTCTTTTGGGGGTTAGTGTGTGTTCGTCCTTGCACACCTACTTTGTTCTTTATCGTGTCAATTACTTCAAAATGCAAATTGTGTCTCATTCCTCAGAGTTTTTATACGTGAAACACTCCTCTGGGGTCTGTTCCATGAGGCTAGGGAGTATTGCATTAATATGTCTAGAATACCAGTGCTGGGGATACATCATGTAAAAAAGGGAGCAGCTGTTCAACTGAATTTTGTTCCTCTCCAAGATCATTGAGTTACATCATTGGGAGCACTACTGCAAATGTATGAACGTTTTTGTTCTCTGAGCATTTGTAATAAACTTTTCTGTAGGAAGGAGTGTGTTGGTAAGAGAAACAGATGCATGTAGAAGAAAGCAGTGCTGCATGTTCTGGATGGTTGAGGGCTCAAGCGAGTTTAGCAAAAGCTTGTCATAGATACATCACTCCAACAAACAAGGCAAAGTTCCTTTTTCCTGCCCCTGAATACTGAGCAAATTGCAGCTCTTTCTCTGATGGTGAAATTTTCTGAAATTCTTGAAAGATTTGGGTATTTCAGAGCCAAAATCATAAAGGCAGGCCTGGGCAAATTTTCCACAAAATTTGCATTTTGGTATGTTTTTAAATCTTTGCAAGTTCCATGGTTACAGCACTGTTTGAGCGACAGCACACTGTCTGCTGCTTCTTGTTTTTCTTTCCAGCAGGCTATTTCTGCTGACTTTCAGAACAAGTTGAAGGTCGGATGCCTAGTTGATTTTAATAAGCGTTCAACATTGGTGGAAGTTAGGCTTTTAAAATACTGTCACTGAAATCAAATCAAAGGGTTGTGTACAAAGGAAGGGTTATGTGTTTTCTGCCTCTGCATGACAGTGCAGAAGACTCCTCTTCTAAAGGGATCACTCGTAAGAATTATTCAACAGCTTTACTTCAAGTGCTGTTTCAGTTGGTGGACTGTGTTCTGTTAATTATAATCATGTTACTAAGGGATAAATGTTCCTGCACTCTAAGCCAAACATGTATGTCCACCTATAGGTGATGGTGACAGCTCTCAGGAAATGCATTGTGATGTGGTCTGCACTATAGCAGGATACAAAGTAAAGCTCCTGCAACGTGATGCATTTTCCTATTAACAGCAACATGTTGCTCTGTACCCTGCCTCCTGGTTCAGTGTGTTTCTGTGGGTTGTCTTCAAATCATGATCCGAGAATTAGCGTTGTGCCTGGAGAGTTTGATGAGGATGTTCTGGCTGGTTGGGTATGTGTATTGCTGGCTCCTCTCTTTTATGGGGTTGCATACACACTTTTGTCGCAGCCTAATGGTTCCTGCCAACAGAAATAGATCTGAACATTACTGCAGTGAAGCTGATGGGCCATTTCTTCTGGTCAACTTTAGTGGCCTTTCTTGAAACTGAAGTTTCCATGCTCTCCTTTTGCTGGCAGCATTGAAGTCTATGCAGATTCCCTACAACTAAGCAAGCAATCTTCAAACTGCACAATAGCGACAAGAACCTCAGAAAGCCCTTAAGCTGAGGCAAAGGACACTGTATTTATCAGTAGCTGTGCCAGCTAACCTGAAATGGTTTTAAAGCAACAGCCCCTTGAAAGGGACTTTAGATCAATTAGCAGTATATAAAAAGTATCTGCTGCCTTGATTCTCAGCTTGTCTCCAGTTGAGCTGAGCAGGTATGATAGCAATTGCATCCTCTCCCTCTGGATTCCTTACAACCTTCTGACTTCTCTTCCCATTTCTGATTTTAAGATTTATGTCCATCTCAAAGAAGGGAGTGGTGCTGACGGGCTGGATGCTTTGAAGAACAAACCACAGCTTCATAGTATGGTGGCCAAAAACCTTTGTCAGAACGCCTCTGGGAAGAACTACATCATCTTCACAGGCCCAAGCATTACCAGCCTGAATCTCTTTGAAGAATTTGAGAAGCAAGGTACGTATCAGGTGACTCACTGGGTTTAAATGATGACAGACCTAGGGGCTTCCTGCCACTGGGTTTACAAAAACTCCCATAAGTCTTCACTGGTATTTCAATCCCTTGTATAGTTAAGCTGGTCATCTCTAAAAAAAGTTCTCATTCATGAAAAGGCACTATACAAAGGACTTTCCAAGTTGCTCTTCAAATCTTCTTTAAATTTTTATAAAGTTCATAATGAGAATGGAAATACATTTTAAATAAGATTATTTAAAGGCAACTCTTGTTCCTTGCCTCACAAATGTGAGGTCTAATCTAGCAGGTAGCAAATTCAGTAATGTCTTTCTAAAGCATGTATATTCCCATCAGATTAAATATGCTAATGCTATACTGAGATTTTAATTTATTTCAGGATTTGTTATATTGCTTCATAAGTATTTTTATGATTTTTAACAGCTGCTTCCAAAATTCAATTTCAGATCTGGTACACTCTATCACCTTCCTAGGGGTGACACTGTGAGGTGGGTGGACGCTAAGATAGAAAGTCTATTGGTTTTCCGAAATATTGTGGCACTGCTATATAAAGAAAATCATGGGGAGAACATGGAAGTGTTTGTTTAAGAAGGCCATGGAATTATCTGTGTTTGCCATGAGTTACTAGGGACTAGCTCAGAGGTTTTGCAGGGTGATGTTGAACTGGAAGGACCAGGAGACACTGGCAGAGGTAAAGTGCTAGAGATGTCAAGCAGTGAAGTCAGAAAGAGCCCTGGAAGAGATGAGTGTTTACTGACTCTGCTGCAAAGCAGTTAATGTATTGTCAGCACCTGCTGGGATACTACTGCACTGGCAGTAGGCTTGGGTAGAGGCAGGCAGAGAAGCCTCGCCTCAACAGAGATCTCTCCTAATGTATCACACAGCCACACTCAGCAGTGACCTTAATGCTTTTTTTTTGGTGTGTGGCTTATCCAGCAAAATCTGAACAGGGACACATCATGACCAAGAAGTGTCATGAGAGCCTATTGAAAAGCATCCATGCTCAGGTGCTCATGACAGTTCAAGACACATTCTTAAACTGACAAATTTGCTTTTATTGTTTAAGAAAATTTGGGTTTTGGGCTAGAGCACTGTCAGCAGTAGAATGATCACATTGAGAATTGAAAACAAAAATAAACTGGTATTGATATTAACTACTTTACATTGTTTGGGTTTTGGGGGGGAAATAGGGAGAGACTCAAATAAGCCAATAATATAGTTAATAATTTAAATAAGCTAATAATAAACTTTTGGAGAACTTAAACTGACATTTAAGGGAACTAAAGGGAATTCTGGAAAATACAGAAAGAAGCACCCACTGAAAATGTATTAGTTTGTCTCAAAATTCTTGATGAAAAGGACTTGGGGTCTTGGTAGCCACCGAGTTGAACATGAGCAGCCCTGGCGGCAAAGATGCTCAACACCCTTCTGGGCTGTGTTAAGAGGTCTGTAGCCTGTAGAGGCTACATAGAGAAGGTGATAATCGCATCCTACTCAGCACACTTCTGGACAGCATGTCCCCCAGTACAAGAAAGTAACTGATAAACTGAAGTAAGTTCAGTGGAGAACCACAAGCCTGACCAGAGGCAGTACCACATGCTCTGCTATGGGGAGGGAAATATGCTTGTTCAGCCTGAGAAGTGTAGGCTTCAAGAGGACCCAGCAACAGTCTTATGCTATCCTAGGGAGGTTATCGAGAGTTATAGCAGCCTTCCAGTACCTAGGGGGTCTACAAGAAAGCTGGAGAGGTACTTTTTACAAGGGCATGTAGTGATAGGGAAGGGCGAATGGCTTTAAACTGGAAGAGGGTAGATTTAGATGAGACGTTAGGGAGAAGTTCTTTACTGTGAGGGTGGTGATACACTGGCACTGGTTGCCCAGTGAAGCTCTGGATGCCCCATCCCTGGAAGTGGGAAATGTTCAAGGCCAGGTTGGACAGGGCTTTGCGCAACATGGTCTAGTGTAAGGTGTCCCTGACCATGACAGGGGGCTTGTAACTAGATGATTAAGGACCCTTCCAATCCAAACTGTTCTATGACTCTCTGAATGGAACTTTTTGCGGTGGTGCATCATGGTAGGACAAAAACAACAGAAAAACTGAAACAAAAAAAGTAGTTCAGACTAGATGTAAGGTTTGTCCTGTGGGCAGTGCAGCAGGATTCCCAGAGTGGTTGTGCAGTCTCTGTCCTTGGATGGTTTTAAGCCCAGACAAGATAAAGCCCTGAGCAGTGCCATCTGACCTCAGAGCTGACACTACTCTGAGCAGGAGATGGGACCAGAGACCTCCTAAGTTCCCTTCTAACCTGAAATACACTTTAATCCATAGGATCCTGTGATTCAATGAAGACTTTTTTTGGAACCTTAACTGTCGTTTGCTTTTCTTAACCCTAACCCACACATGCATTACTGCAAAATCCACAGCTCTTTATTTGAAAGCCTGCTGTGTAGCACCTTCACTGTACCACAGTAGAGAATCTGTGCCTAGTAGTGTAAAGCGATGTTGGTGAACATAATTCTAAGATCTATGAAGATACCAAGAGCTGAGAAAACTTAAGAAAATAAGACAGGGCTTTTGGGTCTTTTTCAAAAAAGCCTGCATAGACCTCTTTTTTTCAGTGGACATACAAAGCATTTCTTTCTCTGGCCTCTTAATAGGACTGGAAACCTGCACTGAAATGCCCCAAATTCTCTGTTCTGCAAGCAGACAGCTGTCATTGTTACTTGCTGTGACGTTCATTCATAGCTCAGCTTCTGTTTTCATTATTTCTAAGCATTAGTGTTGTCCATTACAGAGGACAGCCCCTCCTAAAGCCCTGTGTCCCATGCTTCTCTTAAACGTAGGGTTCCCTGAAGTCCCTTTTGCACTTTCTGAACCAGCAGAAGCAGCTGGCTCTCTCCTGCAAAGCGGCTGGGGTTGGCAAAGCTGCAGGAGCTGCCAGCCTGGTTGACCATGGCACTTCCCACAAGCTTTGAAGGATGCTGCAACTCCAGCGTATTGACTAAAGCAAGCTCTTGCCTGCTTCCCACATAGGCCCCCCAATTGCCCTAGCTCTGACATGACTCAGCGTTGCATGCAGAATGAGTGCAGAATGTGTATTTTTGCCTGAACTTGTTCAAGCCTGGCTAACTTTGCATATGGTACTAAAGAAGATGTGGAAACAGGCTTCAGCACAAGCTCTCCAGGGTCTGCAGACCGCAGGGAGAATCTTGGGTGACTACACCACATTTCCTCATCTTTGCTAAGCTAGTTTAGGTGTATGTGTTTATACTGCGTATATAAAAGACCAGAGGACAGCCTGTCCCCAATGTTTCCTGTGTATGTTGCAAACACCTGTTGTGATTCTGATTTAATTACACACAAAAACTTCATTGAGCCATATGGGCATAATTTTTATTGCTTCTATTGCTATAGTAACTGGGTGGTTTTAAAGAACTCTGCGGATTAAGGGTGTCAACCATGATGAGAGATGCTGGTAAATGTGCAGAAGTGCTGCACTTTTCTGGGCTATGCAGCAGGAAAGTTACACAGTATGTGCCTGAGACTGGAAAAGGTTCCCAGGAGTGAGAGGATCCTTTATTCTGTATGAGGAGTGAAACACCTGCTAGAATCTTTCTGCAGGCTTATTGCTCAGGCTAAAGAAAAGGCTACAATTAATTATTATGTGATCTCAGAGATGGGTGTTGCTGTTTTGAAGCTCTAGCAGAATAATGTACTTACTAGGTTGGTTTTATACCTTTGCAGTCTCCTGGGGAGTTCAGCGAGTCCTAAATCTTAGGCAGCTAAGGAAATCCTTCTTATGCTTGCCGATATCAGAGCGGGAAGATTTTAATATCGACTAGAAGAAAGCTTTCTAGAAGGTTGTTATGTTAATGCCAAAGTTTGCAAGCTTGCAGGCTTTTCTCGTTGTCTTTTGTGGAAGGAAATTTGGAGGGATTGATTCATTCATTAGAAAAAACTGATGAAGTACAGATTTCCTCATTCAGAATAAAGATTCCCCACTGCTGTGTTGGTTGATCTTCTGAAATGAGCGTGTTAAATTTGTGATGGAGGAGCTCTGTGTAGACCTGCTCACAGCAACTGGACCAATTGATGAGTATTAGCAATTTTTATATTAGTATTCCTGTAGCATCTGTGAGCTGTTGAGGGGATGCTCAGCATGCCTGCCGCTACATGAACCAAGACAAAGGCACTCAAGCACTCAGGTCATTCCAGAAAGACAAAGGCAGAAAAGCCACATAAATGGAAACCCAAGAACAGAGGCAACACGCTCAAGGGAAACCAGACATGGTAGTCTGACTTGGCATGTCCCCTGTAAGTATATCCAGTTGTCCAATGTGCAGAATTCAGCACAATGAAAAATCTGATCAAGCAGACTTAGCTGACAGATGAGCTTTGAACTGCCAAAAGCCTCTGCTGCCATATGAAGGATGTGCACAGATGTCATCATGATCCATGGCCTTTGTTTGTTGGGTTTTTTTCCCACTTCTGTGGATTAGCAGAAAGCCTAGGGAAACTGAGGAAATTCCCATCCAAGATTTCCTTGAGTTCAGTTAATTTGATCAAAAGTTAATTTGATCAAAAAGTTCTGTTTCTCTTGAACTAACAGAAACAGGCTGTTATTATTTCACCACGTAATGACAAATTCAACCATTGTCATTATTAATGTTGTTTCCAAATCTTGTTTGTGCCTACCTGGTTGCACTGACATGTGCTTTGTGGTGTTAGATTTTATTAATTGATTCATTCACATATTTGCCTCACAAAAGACCAAGGAGCTTTTGTAAGCAGCAGAATGTGTCACCTGTGCAACCTCTGATGTCTGTACTAGTCAAGATCAGTGCTCATTCAGCTAGGGCGCCTTGCTTTATCTCCTTTCCCTAAAATCTCTTTTTGTTGAACTTATATTTCCACCTTCTCTATCCTTCTGGCACATGCACTTTTTAAATCAACCAGCAGTTTCCGTGGTTCTTAATTGCTAAAGCAGCATTTCCTTAACAAACGAGATGATGCAGGTACAAGGAGTAGTGAGCTGAAAATCAACAACTGGGCAGCACGATGAAACAATAAACTGGAGTTTGTCAGCTATGTATGCTGTGATCAAAAGCATTATGGGAGTCATGCAGGACAATTTATTTCAGTTAACATCTAAGCTGCTATATGTTTCCCTACCTCCCTGCTCCCTCCACATTTTATTCTCTTATTTATGCACCAGAGACACTTGGAGCATAAATCCTGATTTGTTCCATAATGCATATCATTGTTGGGGTTATTTGCAGTCCAATTTCAAACATGTTGTGAACACTATTACACAGATTATAGATGTTAGTGTTGAGAAGGTACCCTGAATTCTTTTCCTTCATCATAAATGTTTAGGAGGTGTCAATACATTTTATCAAGACAGCAGGTTTTCTGCACTTGTTTCTGTTTCCAGAGACATTACTGTAGGACACAAATCTTTGATATTACAGGAGAAGGCCAGTGGAACTGCAAAGAAGTTGCTCTACTGCTCTTGCTTTCAGGGTCCATGCAATGGCTTGCTGATAGAGAGTATTTTTGTTCACATGCAGAGATTTACTGCTGTGGGTTGCTGAGCACCAGGAAGAGTGACTGCACAGGCCTACCTCCGTCCATGCTGAACAACCCTGAAACTCCCCAGTCCAGAGGACAGTACAGAATAAGAATGAAGGGAAACATGTCCTTGATCTGCTGGTACAATAAAGGGAACTTTCGTTTTCTGACCAATGCCTATTCACCAGTTCAACAAGGTAAGCAGCATTCCTACTGCTCATCTCAAAAATGCACGTGCTTTATGTGACAAGGCAAAACGAGTCACTGAGTTTTAAAGTAAGCCTGACCAAAGAGCTCGATAGTAATATCCTAGATAAACAGTAGCAGTAGTGGTTACTTCCCTTTTGTGTCTTCCTAAGCTATTCTCTTTTCCCATACAAAGGTTAAAATCCTACTGCAGTGCAGCCTCCTTTCCTGAGCTGGTGGAAGCAGTGTCCTTTTAGGTATAAAGATGATAGCTTTGCTGATGGTCAGAGAAGGGAAGATGGTTGTTGTATTACACCATCCTAGCCCCATTTGGAAAGCATCTTATAGAATTGCTGCTACAGAAATATTAATGTCATGATGTACTTAGAGCTCTGAGCAGATCCTAAAATTAATTTATCCTATCCAGTAAAAACTTAGTCACAAACAAACATCTTTTTCCAGAAGTAAATGTGATTAAGGCTTCCTGTTGTATGATAAATTGATTTTAGCAGTTGACGAAAAGAAGCCAAAGCAGATAAGTTGGATAGTTCAAAAAATTGCAAAGAGCTTCTTGACACTGAAATCTTTGTGCACATATACAGGTGGTTTTAAGAAACTTTGGAAACTTCTGTAAGATGCAGTATGATTAGCTAACACTCTGAAATTAATCTTTCAGTGAAAATCTTGATTCAGTTTCTTTTCAGTTTTATTATTCAGACTTACGTATAACTGCATGAGACAGGTGTGAATAACCTAAATCTTTAACTGTAAAGCCACCAGTCCAAAGGCATCTTGTACACTGATGTTCTGAATCCTGAGTGACTCTCACACATGTTTACAGACAGCAGAAGCAATGTTAAGGTCTTGAATTACCGTATGGTAAGCTGAGAGGTTGACTTAGCGTTGTTCAGTGCCTTGCCAGAAGGCTCATTACCATAGCAAAGTGTGGCTGATCCTGAGGAGTTCTGCTGAGCAGTACAGCACAGCAAGGACTTGGTGACTCACATGGACCAGTGTCTGAGCACAAATGCTGAAAATACATATGTGAAAGAAGTATGACACTTTGGGGACCCTGCTGAAGCCAGTCTCCAGAGCAGTGCTGCTCCCTACAAGTGGCGTGGAATTAGGTCATTCAGCTGCTCTAACTGGACAAGAGTTATCACTACATGTCACTTGGTTTTTATAGGCTAGCCCAGAGCATTTGGTTCTGATTCATAAATATTACTAGAAAAATACTCTGTTTTTAAGGTAACAGTGTTAACTGTTAAAAAAAGAAAACAAAAGCAGACTCTGCACTGGCAGCATCCTTTACAAGAAGCACACAGAGGTGTGGGCTGTTATTCTTGTGATTGACCTGGGGTCTGTTTTGGCAAACCTGGGACTGTGTGAGGTAGCTTGTGATGGACAAGACCTGCCCAACACACTGCTCACCAAATGCTGGCTGGGACAGTTGACATAGTTCACGGTGAATCAGAGCAGAAAACAGGGACTGCCTTTTTAAAGAGTGGTGCTGGGGAGAAGAGAGTCTCTAGTGGAGAGGTGGGAACAGATGGAGACTCGGTAGGAAGGCAGGAGAGCAGATTGCCTGCCTCTAATTTGGCATCTCCGTAGTCAGTGCAGCAAAGCTAGTTCAAACCACCTTAAAGCTGGACCGCCAAAGTGTCCTCTAAGGCATGTAAATATAGAGGAAGAATCTACTGTCCTTGAGGAAAGCCTGGAGCACAAACGTGCTGGTGAACGTGCATTAGATGGGAGAGGAGGCAGAGACAAAGGGGAATAAAGCCGACACAGGGTAGGACAGAAACTGGCATCAGTGGGATTGCGTGACAATTCATAGTGTGTGTTTGCACTGGGTAAATGTTGGCAGGGGGGTGGAGGAGGCCATGGAGAGAAAACCTTAAAAACGTAAGGCAAGAGATGGTCAAAACAAACAGAATGACAAAAGAGATGAATATAGCTAATAATGAGCTATTTATTGCAATCCAAAGGAAAGTCAAGAGGGTAAATCTTGCCTGTACTTGGAGTGCAAATCCCACCCAAGACAGAGGCACCAGGAGGGCAGTACACCTGTCAGAGCTGATCTATGAATACTATTCTTAGATGCAGCAGGTTATTTATTATAGATGTTTTGAACCAATGTGTCATAATACATCATCTCAGATGCTAAAGGATGAGTTTTATCTTTAGTCTTGCAAAAATGCCCTGCTTACTCTGCTATCAAGCATGAAATTTCTGTCTAGAACAAAGTTCAGTGGGGTTTTAAATTTCCCTTAAGCTTTAACTTGAGTTAATTTTCCCTTGTGTCTGTATTACAGAAGAATTGAGAAACCAAAAGAGATTGGGATTGGGACCCCCAAAGAGTAAAAAAGTTACCCTTATTCTAAAGCAGGTGAGGTATGTGCTGACCCAAATGTCCCCATCTGTGGGAAAAGGCTGCATTTTTGTTTTTCCACTCCAGATCTGGTGCTCACTTTCCCAGCATCTCCATTACTATATTCTAGAAATAGCTACAGTCTTTTCTATTCCTCAGATGAAGCAGGATGGAGCAGGCAGTAACCTCACTTGCTGCACAGAACGACAAGAATGACAGCATGCACAGGATGACATCTTTAGCAAAAACTTGTTGAACCCAAGATATTTTTAAGTAGCTTCTTTCTGAAGCTCTTCACCAACCAGCTCTACTTAAAAGCTAAGTAGACAATAGCTAAGGGTAGAAAACAAAGGTAGGGACACACATGCAATGACTAAATTGCTGAAAATGTCGTGTTGGCATCTCACAAGTGCCTTGTGAGAAGATGGGAGATGTGGAGGCATCACAATTGCATGAAGCAGTTACGTAAGTAAGTCCCTGTGCAGTTATTAGCCCAGGAGAAGCTGGAGTGAGGAGTGTCCAGTCACAATCTAGTTTCCTGAAAAAATCAGCTTGTGGGATTAGCCAGGAAGTGGAAAGTCTGAGGATATAAGCATAATGTTAAAAAGTATGGTTTAGGATGGGGAAGCTTATGGTTTTAACTAGAAATTTCCATATGTCCTTTGTGAGACTACATTTCAAACCCAAAAGCTGATGGCTGTCCGCAGTGGCAGCATGGCAGCCAGCACTCCTTCCAGCACACAGGCAAAGACAGCGCAGGCGGTGCGTTCCCTGGAGTGCTGCCAGGGATAGGAACACAGCAATGCTGGGGGAGAACCTGGAGGGGAAATAGCTCATCGGATGTGCTGGTGAGTCAGCTGGCTTGGGACTGCTTGCCACAGAGACCTGCAGCTAGGGAGGACCCAGCTCTGGCATTTGTCTTCCCTGGAGATGTGGCCTATGCCTACAAAGCAAGCCTAGGGAAGGCTGTAAAGCTGTTTGTATTCTCAAAACAGGGGAATGTTACATGGAATACAATAGAAAGTGAGAGGGAGTATGTGATACCAGCTTAGCTGCCACTGCATTTTTTTAAAAGGGCTGCGAATACAAAGCAAATTGCAAAGGAAATATAAATCCTCCAAGAAGTAGAGAGGGAGAGGAAGGAGAAGAAAGTAAGAGGAAAAAGGAGGGGATTTTTCTGTAAAACACTGGCACCAGGAACATACTCACCCTTTCCTGACCTGCCCAGGTGGGATGGCAAGTGATCTTGTAACACTGATGCAGACTGGTGATATATCAGCCCATTTTACCTCGTGCTGGACAGATTTTTGTAGGACTCATTAAAAGGATCAAAAAAATAAAAAAGAGCACTATAATAAGTATGTGAATGTAATGAAAGATGTGTTTATTTGTTTGATTGCTTTTTTTTCCCAGCCCTTGGGGTACATTTAAACCCAGTTTGGGGAGGCAGAGGTGAGAGTATATTGAACAATTTAGAGGTGATATCATTTTGGCCTCTTGTAAAATCAGACTATTAAAGACCACAGATAAATTGCTGCTTGGCTCAGCTGTAACGTGACATTTAGGATGTGTCATACATCTTGCTTCAGAATAGAGCCTGCCAGCTAGGACAGCACAGGGGGCTTGACAGAGATAATGGATGAAATGAGACTTCCAGCTGAAGGAATGAAATGGTAAAGTCTGTAATCAAAACGTGAGGAGCATTTTAGGGATGATTGTAAAATGAGTTGGCAAAAGAAGGGCAATGAGTGTTTGAAGACTTGAGAAAGGCCAGGATTGTACCCATATTGGAAGAATGCTGAGAAAGGATGCAACCAAGTCTGTGCTTCGTTAGACCTGGAGAAAAATAGTGTTGTACCTGGGAGCAAACAGGGATCCTCACTAGACAGTGTGCCACAGACACTGAGCAAGAGGTGGTCCCACATCCTGGAGAGCTGACCATCACACCCTGGAGGGACATAAAGTCAAAAGTTAGGGAATAGACTCACATACTGTAAGTTTTTATTCAAGCTTCCTTCCTACAAGGAGCTTTCCCTCGACAGGGAAAACATGGAGGACAGAAATAGTAAATCAGAGAAGAGCTAGGGGGGTTTTTGGGAGAGTGTTGAACTCAGATATACTGCTGTAGTATTGGAGAAGGCCAGGTCAGAGGGAACAGGGCCCGTTCTTGGAGTAACCTGCTCTAGGCACCACATCTTTGCCTATGCAAAGAGGGATTGGTAGGTAGGTGCAGGGGACTTGTTGCCTTACCACAGATTTCTGCAGTAAGCAGGGTAGTCTTTCCCTATGGTGAGCTGAAGTATCAAGCCAACTAACCAGGCAGGGCAGGAAGCATCACTCACAGGGGGAGAAATGTGTGCTCAGCGCCACTGAGCAACCTAAACATGCATCTGAGCTCTGTCTCCCTACAGCAGCAAATGAAGCTGCTTCTCATTTCAAAGATACTGTGGTTGTGACTCCCTCAACTCACCCACCAGCATCACCTCTGTCTTGACTGGGTTGAGCCAGTTGACTCCTGCTTAGTGTATTTTCTTTTCTTTATCATTTAACACCCAGTGGCATGAAGGCAGTGTTGCTCTTGCCTTCCATGGGTGGAGGTAAGGGATTTAATTTCAAAGGGCCCATTTGGGACCTTAAGAACTCAGAGCATAAATTGGCAAGTCACAGCTCTAGCCATGACTACAACACATTGGGAACTAACAGAGGAAAGACTGTAGGGGGCTGCTGCGAGTCCACGGCCATGTGTGGGTTTTTCTGAACATACGGTAAAAGTGTTTGTGTCTAATGCCTCTCCATTTCCAGGTGACAAATGACGCCTCTTCTTACCCTTCCACTTGCTCAGTGTACTACCAAGAAAGAAAAAATCAAATTAGTGTCTCTGTTACAGAGAACTTCCCAGTTTTAGGTCAGAAACTGTCAATAAGATTTATTTTATAACAGACTGTATATAGAAACCATTTGTTTTAATTGCTAGACCAATGGATTTCAAACTGTTATGTGTCTATTTGATGCAGGAGTTATAATTAAGAGAAAAAGTGGAGAAATTCCATGCCCATTGGCAGTTGAAGCCTTTGCTGCTCACCTCAGCTATATCTGCAAATACGATGACAAATACAGCAAGTAAGTAAGAATATGTGTCTGTGTATATTTCTCTGTTGCTGATTTGAGTACTCCATGTTGAGATGCAGCTGAGGGCCCAATCCTGCTTTCAGGGTATTAATATCTAACAAAATTCCTGTTTCAAGTCAAAGATCAGAAGCTGAGTCTGCACGAGCAAGAGCTGCATTGCTAGTGTTGTTTCTGGCTCTATCTGTATATCCACCTGTCAACAAAACTTGAGACTTGTGTTCTTAACATCTTGACTTTTAAGAAGCATTGGGAAGATGAGCCTGCAAACTGATGTTCTTGGCCACATCAAATTGAAGGCTCAAACAGAGATTTCAGCAAGGGTCTAGCAGCTCTACAACTCTCTCAGGCTAGCTCAGCTCTCCTCCCCTATCAGCAGGTGGTGTTTCAGTGATTATCTGTCCCAACTAGAGCCAGCAGAAAAAGATGTTCAATTATGGATGTAAAGCTGATCTAGATCACCTGGAACAGCATAATGTTGGTCTTTTAGCCTCTGAATTCCAGTTGTGGTCCTTCATATTAGCTCTTAATGTAGCAGGGAGAAACAGAAATGAGCAAGAATAGCAGTGGTGAAGCTTGGTTATGGCAATAGTGAAGAACTGCAGAAGATTTCAGGAACTAAAAAATGAAAAGAGAGAAAAAGCATCAGGGATTTTTCTAAACCAGTTCTGAACAAGGCAGCAAGAATTCAGTAGAAGAGATGAAAGAGGAGGAGGTGGTTGCTGGAGACTGATGCTGGGATCTTATCTGAGGAAATCAATACGAAAAAGAGGTAAAGTAGTAGATTTAAATGGTTACTAAAAAAATGAAAGTAGGAAAGTTGAAAATCTTATGACCAAAGAGTGGTCCTAGATTTAGTCACAACCTAAATATAAGGATGTCAATCCTTTCTAGTTCTGCCTTATGGATTATTGCTCCACATACCAGCACTGCACGCTCTGGCTCTACCCCCACATCCTCCCACCTGCTGTTGACAGCAGCAGAAATCGTTCTTTGCTTGCAGCAGAGATAAACAAGAGGAGAAGCATCAGCAATCTTCCCTAAACTGTAACATAGTGTGCCTGAGGCATTTATTTTAGTTACAAATTGAAGGGTTTCAGACCCACAGCTCCCATCACGTGGATGTTTGTCATGGAGAAGCTCAAGGAGTCTGTATTGGCGCTTTTACATGGAATTCTGTAGAGGAGAGTGTTGCTGAGGCTTTGCTTCTGAGAGCAAGGAAGTTTCTTCTTCTAGACACTACTATACGTTCCCAAAATTTCACAACTTAACTGGAAATGGCTGTCAAATACATTGTACAAAAACTGTTACGATGGTACTTGCATTAGGTATGAAGTCCTGGGCCTGCTTCCCCTTTGGGACTGCAGAATCTCTGCCTGCAGTGATTTCTTTCATCCCAGCTGCAAGTGTTTGGCTGAACAGTGCTTTTCCCTCCCCTTCTCTCTTGGCTTTTTAGGTATTTCATTTCTCACAAACCAAACAAGACCTGGCAGCAAGTATTCTGGTTTGCCATCAGCATCGCTATAAACAATGCCTACATCCTGTACAAAATGTCAGAGGCCTACCATGTGACGAGGTATAGCCGTGCACAGTTTGGGGAAAGACTTGTAAAGGAGCTTCTGGGCTTGGATGACACCTCACCCTCCCATTGATGCATTGCTTTTGGTGGCATAGACAGGGGCTGGAGGGTAAGCAGAAGAAGGTACTGCACCTGGAATGACAAAGCAAGGAACTTGTGACACCACCAGTGCTGTCATCCAAAAATGCCAAGCGATGCCACTATAGAGTTGGAAACTGTCCTAGTAGGAGCCGGATGTAAACATGTCCTGCAGAAAGTGCCACTGGAAAAGCTGACACAAAATTGCATATGTGAATGCCCTGTGGTAATCTGTACGCCAGAAACAGACTTATATGAGTTGTCATCTCAATACTATGTCTTGAACAGAGTCATCTTGTAAAGTTCCTCTTGGGCTAAGAGCTTGTCATAACCTCATGTAGCTCAGCAGTCCTAGGAGGGCATTACAGAAGACTCTGTACCTTGCTTGGAGTTATTAAATTCTGGGACAAGTAGCGTAAGTCTGCACCATGGGCTTGGTGTGGGGAGTGTCTGCCGTCCTGTAAGGCATGCTGCTGTCCTCCCAGTGTGCTAAATGAAGCAGTTCAGATACATGAAGACGGAAGCAAGCATATTGACAAACACAACCTTCACAGGCAGGCAGCCAGGAAGTGAGGACCAGTTCAGACTTTTTCTTTCCTTTTATGTTTTTGTTTCTTTTTGTGTTTTTTTTTTTTAAATTAATGTAATGTATGGCAATTTGATCCCAGTTAGAACACAGCAGAATTAGAAGAAACCAAATATCTTCATGAAATTAAAATGGAAATGCATTACATTGGTTTTCTTTTTTAACCAGGATGAGACATTTTATACAGTATTACTCACTGTTTGTTTGTGTAAGTATTAAACAGTGAGTAAACCAGTAATACTGCCTCACATCTTAACTGCCACGGTCTGTGTACAGGTGAGAAATCAGAGTACATCTTGATTTCAACTGTATCTTAAATGTTGCTGAAAAACCTAATGTAATGGACTGTTAAGTTTTTAGGAACAGCAATTTCTTTTCCTTGTGTAACTTGTCAAGACTTTTTTTGGTCCATTTTAGGACTTCATTTGGCACAGAGTTGGCAGGAAAAAAATAAGTCGCTAATAGCAGTGTGTTTCCCATTATCACTGTGGGGTGGACTGTAGGAATTCTTATTAGAATTCAGGGCTTGTCACAGTAGTTGTGATTAAGCAAATTACATGTTTAGCAAAATAACATGGCATTGTGTTTTACAAAAAGGAAGTAGTCCAATCTCAACCAGACCTTAAACCTTCCCAAAACAGAGCAAGCCCAAACAGTTCTCCTTTTCTGAGTAACACTGTAGAGGGCAAGCATAGTCATAAGCTGGTGCCCAGGGTTGAAACACCACATTTTGGTTCTTGTGGAATCTGAAGGCTGATGAAGCTTTGAAAAATAATGCTGAGAGATGTATGATTGAAACTGGGGAGAGTTAATACTGAGGTGAAATACTACCCTGCTGCCCTCCACATGTTATTGATTTCAGTCCACAACTCAATCAGCAAAAGCCCTGTATTCCAAAGGTTATCAATCAGTAATGGATGCAAAAAAGAATTGCATTAACTTACAGGGCAAAAACATGTTGCTTAGTGGACCAGTTGATTTTAGGTGCCCAAACCTGAAAAGTTTTACCAAAGAATGACTTGGGTTGATTCAGAGGAATGGAGTGATTGATTGGTTTCATCAGTGTAATCCTCACCAGGGTATATGTATCTATCTGGCAAGAGCCAATAGAGGGTAATCAGCATGAATTTGAGAACTCTTCAGGTTTCCTCGTTATGTGATGTTCAAATGCATAGCATGTAGATCATAACGGGAAAAATCCAACACGGGTTAGTGAATTACTGACTAGCCCAAAGCACATCTTTGCACTGACATCTTTCCACCAAAGTCTTACTTGTTTGGAGTAGGCTTAGAGGCAGATCTCACCTGGTTGCAGGGAGATTAAGGGGACAGCAAACTGGTGGTTCTGCTTGCAATGCAGCCTGGAGACTGTCTCACATGTCCTGCTGTGCCTGCCAGCTTCACGATGTACAGAAGTGGGGTTCCTAAGCATCCCATTCTACTTCTCAGTCTGCAAGGTCTTCAAAAAGGAAACATGGAAGAAAGGACAAGCCTCAAAAGGAAAGAGAGCGTCTGTACCACTGTAGTCCTTGGCAGCATCAAGCTGCATAGGAGCCCAAGATGAGTTCAAGTCTTCTTGGCCTTGCAGAGAACTCAGATCACCCCTCTTCAGACTGAGTGTGGTAGCTGGTTCTTGTCAAGTATTCAAAGTGAGAGAGGAGCTAGCATGAGGAATGAAAAGCAGTGTTCAGCAACATAAGCCTTCAGTTTCCTTTTTCTAGGGAATTCCACAGAGGTACCTAAAGGCAAATAGTGTTCTTACTGCACCCTGCTTCAGAGTAGCTGTACGTTCATTATGTTCTATAGATGTATATGGCAGTCAAAATTGGGGCAGTAGGGAAAGGTCTGGCTTGAACTTTGCTAATGGGACAGCTTGAATGAACAATGCAAATGCTTCCTTGCAATTCCCCACAATGCCAGAGCGTTTGCAAGGTGCACATTCCCCCAGCAGATACGTCAAGGTTTGCAGGACCTCCTTGGAGCCACTTGCCACTTCTGCGGAGCCAGCATAGCATGTTCCAGCTGTCATAGCTCCGCGAGAGAGATCTGCAGCCCTTGGCCAATAGCTACATTGCTATATACGCTTAAAGGCTTGGATCTCAGCTATCCTGTACAGAAAATGCCTTTTCTTTTTCAGGTAGCAGTCGGTCCAAGTCCTTGGAATGTTTAATTTTCCACTAATGTATGCTGTTACTTATGTGCTTACTTGAGCTAAAACCATGAATTCCTAGATTTTTGCCTCAGGGACTGGGTCCTGAGTAGTTTTCCCTAGAATTGGTGTTGACGGGGGATTACACAGTGGCTGACTATTACAGGGAAGATGCTTTAGTCTCCTTTGTAAAGGAGAAAAAAGAAGACAGAACTATAGCTTTGCAATGAATTTAATTTTCTTAGCCTTAACCATCCCTCATCATTTTGAACTGGTGCCCTAAATATGCACTGACATTCCATAAGTAAGCAAAAATATTTATATATATATTTATATGTGCAAACTGCCTGAATTTTGGCTCTCAAAGCCAACAAGAAAAGCCACCAAAGCGTAGTCTATATCTACAGATGACTATTCCCACCTCATCTTCTCCATTTATTGGCTGAGAGTGAATAAGGTTGGGGAAAGTTATGATATCTCCTTGTTGAGAAAGCATCTTGCACTTATACTGCGTTACTACAAACAAGGCAAAGTAGTTAAAGAAGAAACTGAATCACTTTTAAGAGGCAAAAGTTTTTTAACTGCAGCTCAGCTTCTGTACTATTTCCTTTAGTGCAAACTGGCTTGCTCAGATTTGTTTCCCCACCTGCTTGCAACGTTAAAGCTTCTCCCTGGTTAGAGGGGAAAAAAATGAGGGGTTAGGCTCAAAGTAGTGCAAGGATGCTAGTTATAGTGTGCACGCACATGTGTTAGTTGTGCAGTGGCTTGTGAAATGATAGCAAGTGTGGGTTGTTTGGGGGATATTTTCTGTGTAGACTCGAGATAATCTGGGCAAGAGATCTGAAAGCTCAGCAGTAGCTGAAACACAATGGAAATGCCAATCAGGTCAAAGAGGAATATGTCTATATTGTTCGGGGGGGGGGGCATAAATAAATAGGTTGAAGGTGAAGTAGACCAGGGAGCAGCAGGTCTCGCTTCTCTCCTGTTGAACTGAATTTTCAGTCACACGTACTTCTGAAAACTGACAATTGCTTGTGGCACGCATAGAACCAAGACCATGAGTAAGACATACTGACCTCCTTCTATGCTCGGTATTCCTGTCAAGAAGTGTCTGTCGTGCCCCAATCCATTCTTGGAAAACATTTCTTCTCCCGGTGTGTAATATAATACTCGCTAGAGCTTAGAAGCCACTGTGAAATGGTTTACACGGCTGTTGTCTCAGTTGAAAAATGTTTCAAGGGCTTGCAGAAACTCTGCCACTTCTTGCTTCAGCCCATTTGTGCACTTGACACTAGCGCGCAATTTACAGTAATCTCATCTCCATTTTCCACTTCTGTTCTCTAACCCCAACCCTTCCACATTTACAAGGTAGTCAGAGAATCCCAATTTGTAGAAATCTCACTGTTGCTAAAGGGTACAACTTTATTTTCCTCAGACAATTCCTAGAGAAAAATGAGTTTAGTCAGTTTCCAGATTACATTAAGGACGGCAACTCGAAGCAGTGTTTCACTTCTTTACCTCCAGCTACACTGTGGCTGAAGAGGGTTTTTTCCTTATTTATCAATCTGCCTTGAGCTGGCGAGTAGTGAAAGAAGCCTCCAGTATCTCAGTCTGACATGTCTTAGTGCCCTGGTCCTGGAGCTGATTTTAGTGATGAGTGGGGAATTCTGTTGCACTGATAATTCTGTACATCGGTGCCACTTTCAGCACAAGGATTGCAAAGTGCTATATCATCCTCAGTACTCATGGGATTTCATTAGCTCCTTTCCCTTCCCTATGCCCTATTCAGAGACCAAGGCACAGCGCAGGTAAGGGAGCTATGAAACTGTAAAGTGGAGTTTGCACTCTTGCTGATTAAGCCCATGCTCTGCATTATCAGTGACTTGGTCCTTGTTCACGTGCACTTTTCCAAACTAGAAATGAAAGCATGCTGAACATCCTTCCACTGTGCAGGTGGCAGGGCTTTGTCAGCACAAGCTCCATACTCCATATACGTGAGAGTCAAAACCAAATGGCACTGAAGGTGAGAGAAAACTGGGAAAAACATAGCAGTCCAGCCTGTGTGAGGAGGAGCTTAGAGGAGATAAATGGAGACTCCGAAGCTCTGCCATAGTCCAGTAATCAATGTGAAATTCAGACAAATAATTACTGAGACTGACCTGAAAAAAATCCCTGCGGCTTAGCTGGAATATAAAGTCTTCCATCCATCTCTGTTGTGGAGTTTGCCATGGCACGTTCTTGTTGCTAGGACAAGACCTCATCTCAGTCTGGTTGAGAGAAACATTGAAGTGACAAAGCACTGTTAGCATCATTTCACAAAGGCGACGGACTTTAAGCTCAAAACATGCATACATTTGGCCTATCATTACTTAGGATGTTTTGCACAGGCACATCACCTCATCATCTGCTCAAATGCAAGCCTATCCCAGTGCTACTTGATAAATATTCCTTCTTGTTCTTCCCAAACTTACCTTTGTTTCCAGAGGCATTGTGAACTGGAGCATCCCCTTTATTGTCATCTCACTGCTGGGGAGCAGTTGTAAGGTTCTGTGCTTTGTATAGGAAGGATCTCTTCTCTTGCCTCCCCTCTGCTTTTGAGAGATGGCTCTGTGTCTTCAGAAATCTAGTTCTGGAGAAGTTTCTTTCCCAATGCTTTCCTTTGCTTCCCACCATCCAAATTAACCCACCAGTTCCACGTCAGTCTGGAAGAGATGACCACAGCGAGTTGGCTTTTCAGTCTACTGCTGTAGTATTACTTTGCTGGCCCTTTCTGCTACTTTGCAAATCTCAGATGAAACAGGGTATTGGTTCTGAAGCCTGTACTAATTGTAATCACTGTGAAGGTGTTGCTTTGCCTCATTAGTGCTGCCTCATCAGGTTTGTATGGACCCAAAACAGGTAACGGCATCACCGCACCACTGTTCCCATGGAAATGGCTGTAACATTCCTCAGCTCTAGATCCTCTTGATGGCTGTCAAAGAGGGGGCTTCGACGTATCTGAGCAGGTTTTTGATGTTTTTGTTTTGTTTCTTAAGCCCTTCCCCTCTGATGGGTCTGGTGAACAGCTGATAGGTATCACAAAAGGCCTTAAGTGGTAAATCCCTTTTGTATCACTCTTCAGAAGTATTAGAAGCTTGTATTAGATGTGTAGTGCAAAAATCTTGTCTATGGAAACATCACTCTGCAAAAGTTCTCATTTGATGTCACTGCAACAACCCCTGAATGCAATGTCGGGGGGTACCTGGATGAAGAACCTAGTGGGAAAGAGCCCTGAAGGGACCTAATCGGATAAACATAGAGGGGAGAGAGGAGTGCGATTTGGGATCCAAGCTCCTTGGACAAACAGACTTCATAGACAAGCTACTGTCAGAAGTTTTACTGGGGAAGGGAAGAGGCCAGGCCCATACAGTTTGCTCCCAGCCCTGGCAACTCTGTCTCTAAAAATAAAACTGGCAAATGCTGTCACTGTTCATGTACTTACAGTGTGACCTGAACTTCATGAAACAAAGCATTTTGACTTATTTGCACTAGTTACCAAAAAAAGAAGGACCCCAAAACCTCCACAAACCGAAAAGCAAAGCCCTGTACACTAGGTTCATCTGTCCAGAAACCCCAACCCACTTGGTGTCAAAGTAACGCTGTGGTCTTGTTCTCCAATTAATGTGTCAAGGTGTATGCAAAACATGACTGCTGAACAGTTCACACCTATCTGTGAGACAGTTACTCATTTAATGGAAACCAACCTGCGGGTCTCTTTGTGACTTACTTTTGTAACCTGGATTTTTCTTCTAGATACAAACCAAATCTGTCAGTACCGACACTAAAGATAGCTTGACCTCATGGTCTGGGGTGAGATTGGAGATGGCAGAACTCAGATTTATGCCAGAGATTGATCTGATCCCACATAGGTGAGGCTAATCCGCAGTCTGACACAAGGAGGAGCTTAAGGGGAGCAGTGGGTTTGAGAGGCAGGGGGAAGTTCAGAGTTTGGGCACGCAGAGGGAGAGGAGCCAGGTGATCCCTTCTAACTCCCATCTTTCCAGCATGGGTACCCCCCCATCCCCTGCTGCTTTTGAATTAAAAAGGAAAGGCTGATATTTAGCACAAGTCTGCACAGCTGCTTTAGCAACATGAACCCTGCTTTAGCTACATCCCTGGCCTCCCTCCCTGCCTTTTCCCTGTACTATACATGTTCAGTAGTCATAAACCCTGGAGTCAAAGCACTGCTGCATGTCAGCACAGCATGGAAGCCACAGGCTGAGGAAACGCCACAGTAGAAACAGAAACAATGGGGATTCTGGATAAAAGGACATTTCATAGGCTTGATTTTCAATAC